AATGTACTTCTTTTTTTAACGAAAGTTTTACAAGTTGAAAACTTGAACTCACCATGCCGAAGTGCAATATTCTTGAAGTAAGATTCTCGAGAAAGTTCCTTTTAACCGGATCGTGTCTATCGGATGGTTTGTAACCGCGTGAACGTATTACAACATTGTCCGCTGATACGCTACGTTGTAAATAATTCTTTTCTTGTAGATAGCCGCTGTATTTCACACTAGACTTGTATTCCGCATCCTTGGTGAGCCCATACGAGGTGTTACTCAGAATGTTGCGCTTGGTGTTAACGTGTCTACGGACATTTGAAACGTTCGCAACGCGATGCGGATCCTCCATTTACGCAAACTCTACGAGATTTCACGATAACCATACAAACGTAACGGAAATCGTACAAACAAAAAGAAATTCTCGTACCTTCACATGTAGAAGAGTAATGATTTTTAAAAAGATTATTTTAAATAAAAACTTTGCATAAGCATAAACTCTATCTTAAACATTACTTGAAATTTTATTTATAAAAACTTTAAACTATTTTTTCAATTAAAAACCTTATTTCAATTGTATTACATGTACATACAAAAAAATATTTTGCTGCTCCAGCTAGAATTATCGCTATTTTTTATATCTAATAGAAAATTATGTATCATACGCAAAGAATTCATAGCACAAATCTAAACTCTATCTCTGTCATCTACAATATATGATTAGATGCAATACATATCCAATATCGCAGTATTTGCAAGAAATTTATCTATTTTAGCTAATTTTTCGTACTTAGATAATTTTCGCTATAACTGCAAGATCAATTTTTTGAGTGTAGATAATTTATTATAAAATTTCTTATTATATATATACATATATATTGACTAATATCTCTTAAAGAGCAAAAAGAAAATTAAATTCGTTATAATATCAACAAAACTTTGTACTTTACAATTGTGTTATATCTTGCAATAGCTATATCATATTTTTTATTTAAAATAACATCTTTAACAAATTATCGAAAACATATTTTCAAATATCTTTTTATTAATTTCTGTATGAGGAAAGCATTTGTTGAACTAATATATATAAGTATCTATATATGTAAGTATCTATGTAAGTGTCTATAATACTGCATAAATATTATAGACATTTACACATTTGTATTTGCCTATAGAAATGCTAAAAGAAAATATAGGCAAATAAAGCTGAAAGGAAATATTGAAAATAATTTAAATCATCGTTCACTTAATACAAAAAATTTGGCAAATAAATATTTCTTCAAATTATTTTGTGGATATACTTTTTAGATTAATTATCCAACATTTCTTGATAATACATTAATTAACATTTAGTTGATTATTGCCAGCATTAATAATCTATCAGTAGTATTGACAATCAATCTGAAAAAGTGCGGTAACGAGATTTGTAATTACATGATCTCCTTTAAATTAATTTTTTTTTTAATAACGCTGTTTTTTAAACAAAATTTAAGATATATCAGACAACACACAATATTTGTAAAATATTTACAAATATTTATAAGACTTATTTTAAATATTTCGTAAACATTTTTGTGGTCTTAGATTGCATAGATCATAAACATTTATTATAAATATTAGGTGTTGGAATTAATTCGTAGCGTTTTTAATGAAAGAATGTTATTTATTTCACATGAGCATTAAAAAATACATTAATGAAAGTACTTCCCATCACTTGTAAAACGCTACGAATTAATTCCAACACCTAATATTAACGAAATATCTATTGTAAATGTTGTAGTAAATGTTATAAAAATACTTAATAAGACACACATTATAATTTAAGTAAAAAATACTTACTAGAAATATTTATTTATATTTATCATAAATATCACATTAAATATTTTATCTATATTTAGTAAAATATTTCGAATAAAGCTTTACATAAAATATGTATAAAACATTTATGTAACATTTCAAAAAATAAATAGTAATAAATATTTATCATAAATATTCTGTGCTGTCTGGAACATTAATCAGAGAAACACGGACTGAAAAATTTCGATTCGGTCTGAGACTAATTGTAAATCCAACTTTTGGTTTTAATTCTTTTACCGTAACGATTACTGATTCCGTTTAGATTTTGGTTCTTTTCGATTTAAATTTTCGGGAATTAACGATCACTATTATTAATAAAAAAAACTGGAATCGACTGAAACCGAAAGTTAAATAGTCTCGAACCATAATCGTAAACAGGCTGAAATTTTTATCCATAATGTAATTTCTTAGTCTCTGATATTAATTAAAATATTTAGTATTATTATCAATTAATTTAAATAATAATATCTTTTAAAATGGCAAGTGTAACAACTTTTAATTTCCATGATATATATTACAAAGAAAATATTTTTATTATATAGAATATATTTTCAAAATTCACTTTTTTTTCTTATTTATTCTAAACGAGAACTAGGAATTATATAAATTCGCTGAAATTGCATAACTTCAATTTTTGATCTTAAGTCTTTGAACATTTTTTTTGTACATTATTTTAGTATTCTGTATGACAGAATACTAAAACAATGACAAAAATATATTTAACGAAATATATATTATATTTATGTAGCAGAAGAAATCTTATTCCGATTTTGAGTTTTTAATATCGAAATGTGACTAATTGGATAATAGGGGTGAGAGGGAAAGAAAGAGAGAGAGAGAGAGAGAGAGAGAGAGAAAGAGAGAAAGAAAGAGAGAGAGAGAGAAATGTGAAAGTGTTTGTCCCAGCCGGCATGCCATAGAGCTCGACGAAGCTTTTTTAACTACGAGAATTGGTTACCTTCCAAGCAGCCAATTAATTCCGCGTTGCAGTATTGGCAGTACTACAACGAGCTCTGTGTAAAAGAAACGCTAAATTTATCTGTTGTAACGTAATACGCAGTAACAGTTTGAACAGTCGCTCTCGTTGCGTACGCGATCGACACTGTATTCATTTGATATTGCAAAGAATCAGCGATTAATGCACAATGCTACAACATTATTTTTTATAAATAGCTGATCTTATTTTTTTAATCTGGATGTAAATTATTAAAGTTTGCTAATAATTATGTCAACTAAATTGTTTCATTCAGTAACAGTAAAATTTATTTGTACGATATGTATGTACATATATATATATATATATGTATGTATATGTATTTTAATATAATTTAATAAAATTTATATTATGTGCATTTTATTTTGTTAATTTGTGTTCGAAAAAGTAATATAGCGTGACAATTCTAGGTAACAACGCAATCGATACTTCGCTTTAAATAGATTGTTTGGTAGAAGTTTGAGAGTTTCTTCGAAGTCGGTCAAGCTGTTCGCGGCACTTGGTAGAATAAAATTTCGAGAAAGTTTAAACGGATTAAACTTTGAACATCAATCGAGAATATTTAATCAAAAGAGTGATTGGAAAAAAAGAAAAAATACATTAAAATAGTCTTCTACGTATCAGAAGCAGATTATTATAAAATATTTAGAAATTCATGGAATATTTAACAATTAAAAAATTGTTAATTACACTCTTCAAAATAGCACTTTTTTCTTATTTTTTGCAATTATTAAGTCGTTTCCCTATATATAAATTTCATAATTTATAGCATTTTATTTATAGTATTGCAATTAACTTTGATATCAAGTTTATAAACATGAATGTGAAATAACTCAATGAATGTGAAACTGTCAATTGTGATTATGAGGTAATCTATTATATAATTTTGCAAAATACACCCTTTCTATGTACCCATTTAAAAATTGCAATGACGCGTTATTCTCTTTCTGTCTCCTTTCTCCTTCTTCCATTTCACAACAAAGTACTGTCACTAAAATCTCTCAGTACAATTACCACAATTGGAAGACATGTCACGATTAATATATGTAGTATCAATTTATCACGGAAAAATAGCCACGTTTTGATAAACATAACTGACATTTCTCATATCACGCACTCTCTCGGGAAAATCCTCTTTCGCAAACGATAACGATAATGAATTAAAATTAGAAAAAAAGGGAAAGGGGAAAACCATGACTCGGGTAACGCACTTTCTCTCTCCCTCTTTCGTCTCCTAGATGAACAGAGACATTACGAACAGAGATTTTACTTATCAAACGATGCTCTCCTCATCGCGACGTGCATGCACACAGAAAGTGGGTCGTCTCCCTTCTTCGCCTACACTTTGTTTTCCTTCTTTACCCGTGATTTATTTTTCCCACGGCTTTACGTAATGCGCGAGATACCCCGGCCTACACACTTTGCCGGAGGTGGTCAGAGTCCGCCTAAACTCGCCGACGAAAGCTCCCTCGCCGTGGGAGATAAATCTCGCATCTTGCAAAACGCTCTCTGGCACGCATCATCCGTTCAAATACGAGGCAAGACGTACCAGAAGGAGTCACTGCCGCTGCTACCGCGCCACCGCCGCTGCTGCAACGCTCAGCAACCAACTACGGCCGATTCATTGATAGAATAGAAATAAAAAAAAGAGAGTAATGGAGAACGAGAGAGAAAGAGAGAGAGAGAGAAATAAAATTTATTTTTATATCGAACGAACTACCGAGTGAATGTTTGTGGACCTTCAGCAAATCGCAACTGCAGTAGCAAAAAGATTTTTCCCGAAAGAAAAGTCGTTATCCAAATGTGGATTATATATCGGTATCGATCGCTTCTCCTACATACGTGAATGGGTCTCCGGAACGGATCAACCGTGTTGGTGAGAGAAGTGTCACTTCCGTGGCGGCGGAGGCCTCTCGATGGGTTCTCTATAGGTCTATCACTGGTACTATCGAGAGAGTCCACCTCGTGCCCTTCTCTTCACCATGAAGATCCGTCCGAGATCGTCGAGCTTGATCAACCGGATCCGCACTTATATGCGATGAATTACAAACACGGCCGGCACACACGGCTTTATAATAGTGCCCAAACCGTCGTCTATACAGCGCCTGCTTGCCGACTTGCTTGGGACGCCTTTCGTTAAAAATAGACCATCAGAAAGCGACACCTCAAGATTCGAACCGAGCCAACGACGGGTTGTCTGTATAGTACGTCCATATGGCTTGATGTATACAGCAAATGGTAGCTATTGTGCTTATTATTATGCAAACACCTGTGGGGTACTAAACTGCTTTTAAAGTTAATTTCTATGGCTTATTTCATCTTCCTCGTGTTGGAAACAAATTATTTCACATTATTCCATATTATAATTATTACATATTATAAAAATAATGACGAAGATTTACTGTAATTTCAGAATATAAACGAATTGTATAGATACTGTATTGTTCATACATGTACATTAGTTTATAATTTATATACATATTAATCTCGGAATGATTTCGCATCTATTATCTCGAATCATCATTACTTATATGATATTTATATTTTCTCTCAACAAATCATCACAGGATTGTGGGAGCTTTCAATGCTACATTAGCCAGAACTCTAAATATACAAGGGTAGCGCAAAAATTCGCCATTTTTGAAAATCTAATAACTATATTATCTTAAATAATTAATTAATTAATTAACTATATATCTTAAATAATTGATAAAAAAAAATTTATTTACTTATTTATTAGCTTATTTATTATTTATTACTTATTGAACAATAGACCAGCAAGTCAAAAATAGCGATCAAAATAGCCAATAAAAAAGTTATCGGCATTCGGATCAGATTGAAAGATTGTACTATTCTAATTCATTTAAAGCTATTAACTTGATACATCTAACTATTAGTGCGTCCTATGTCTTTGTTTTATATTTAATAAATGATAAAGCTAGAATGATACATTAGTATTGTTGACAATATTTTATGTTTCATGTTTTTCTTCATCTGACTTAATAGGTATAATTAAAAGAAATACTTAATAAAAATATTTTGTTATAGCGTTTTGAAATTATAGCTCTCGAGATAAACTACAAGAATATATAATGAAAAATAAATGTTTTCAATTTTATTGTTTCAGCAATATCACATAGGGCATCTATGTGATATTGCTTTGATCTTGGCGATGTCACCTAAGATCAAACCGTTGTTTTTTCGTCCGGTATCAATCTGTCTGGGTTTGGTTGGTGTTTTTCTATTAGTTGGTTTCTTCTGTTTTCTATTTCTGTTTTATTTATCATGTAGATCGCTTGGAAATCGTACGGAGTTATGTAACACGGTGCTTTTTTTATCTTATTCAGACACCCCGTCACGGTCGTGTACTCTTCGGTGCGGTGGCTAACGGTGCACTGAAATTTTATTATTTTTATTCTCTGATTTATCTGTTCCGTCTCTTTGCAGTCTATGTTTGCTGTGATTGGTGTAGCCGTTGTCATGTATATCGGTAACCGCGTGATCGCTTCTTTGTCTCTGTATTTTTGATCGGTTTTGGTTGTTTTGCCTTCCAATAATAGTTTCCATGTTCCTACGTTTATTGGCGTTATTATCGGTTCCTCGAATATCACGCTCGCCGCGAATGGAAGTTGATCCAAATGAAATCCGTTGTTGTCTCTTTCTCTCGGTGTCTCCTCCGGTTTCAGTGGTCTCACCGTGCAGTCGATTATCATCGATTTACCCGCGTTTGTCGGTCCCTCCAGTACCAGTCCGTCGATTTCTATCAGGTCCATATTCTTTATCGCTATTAACCACGCGTAGAAATCTATTATGTCTATTTTGTTCACTTCGAACAGTTTGTATATCCAGAGTATTGGTTCGGATCTTAACGATAATTTTGTCACCTATCTGTCTTCGCAATCTTTGTTCACTATAGTCTCGTACGATACGTATTTGTACAGACTCGTGTCCGTGTTTCGTTTGTTTCTTATGATATTGTGTGCGTATGTATCGGTTTGTAATCCGAATTCCTTTAATAATTCCTCCTTTGTGTCATAATTGATCTTAAGTTCCCATTCCGCGTACGTCCGTATATCGTTTTCCTCTATGAGACTCGTTATAGCTTCCACCACGTTTTTTCGTTTTTCCGTTCCGCTGCGCGTCGCTCGTTCTTCTCTTCGTTGTTCGATGTATTGAATGCATTCCTCGTAATTTCCATCCTCTTTTGGTTTATGTGTAGCCAGTTCGTTGATCGCCTTGTCGAAGTCCTTCAATTCCGGTCCGATTTTAGTTCCAGAGTAATTGAATGTTCCGACGCCGTACCTGATACAATATAGAACAAAGTTCCGAAGATGTCGAATGCGCTGACACGTGATATTAATTTCCGTGTGTCCTGCAGGAGTCGCACACATGTGCTTAGCGATATGTCCTCTTTGTCGGACGAGGTTGTTGTCCTTTGTTGCTCCGAAGACGATGTGCGTTCCGTGGTCGAAGTATCCAAAGGTGGGTTGTCTTCCTTTTCTGTCGATTCGTCTTTTTCCGTCCTGGTTTTTTTTATGGAGGATGCATGTCCAATGGTAGGTTCTGTAAGAGAGACGTATATTAGTCAATCGTGTTATTGTACTTAATATCCGAGTCCCTTACCTGTTGCTGCTAGGAGAATTTCCTCGTCTCCTTCCAATAGTTCCGTCTCCGTTTGTTTTTGTTTTCTTTTTCTTCTTGCGATGATCGTCGCCCACGCTTTGCTGCCACTCGGTTTCGCTGGTGCTGCGCGCGATACTCTCGCTTCCTCGCTTTCGCTCTCCGGTGGTAATGTTCGTTCCTGGCGACCCTCCGCGAGGTGACCTAGTATAATGTACACTCGGTTCTTCTTCCATCCTATTTGTACGTGTTGTTCCATGCGACTTTCCAATTGTTGGCGAGATTGCGTTATCGCCTCTATCACCTCTGTTGTTGTTATGGTTTTGATGTTTATTGGTGGGTGTGGATATTTTTCCGATGCCGTTTCGATCCATGTCCACGCTGGTGTCCAATTGTTTTCTAAAACTCCCAATATACCGTTCAAGAGATCTTTTCGAATCTTCTGTGAGCTTATATTCGTCAAGATGACGTAGATAGTTTTCCCATTCCCATCCCCCAGGAGTTGGAAACTTGAATCCAACGATCACAGAGGTTCCGGTGCGTAGCTGTAGTTGTGTACTCTTCGAGCTATATTCTTCACGAAGTCTATTTGTTCCGCGTCTATGTATTTTTCCCCCGCTAAACGCGTTAATCGAATTGTGTAACGTCTCGGTGCAATTGAGATCGATGTTCCCCGTTGATTCGTTATCGTTGGCCAGTCCTCCCTCTCCAACACCTGTTGCCACAATTCCGGTGTGTTCGACGGTGTGTCGTTCAAAAGTTGTCTCTGATTCGATGACGTCATAATTTGTATATGCGTATTCGCACTGATGTTCCTGTTTCCAGCAAATGATGCAATTGCACGTTACCTCGTTGTGTTCGCAATTCGAATGAACGATGCAGCTCATGGCGTTCCTCTCTTATTACCTATGTTTATCCCTATTTATATGTATTTTCAGTTATCGTTGTTAATATCCGTGTCTTTATTCCGAATTTATTATCAGAGGTTAAAGATTTCGGAGGATGTTTAATTAATTGTAAAGGATTATAGGTTATCGGAGATTAAGCGACATATTTTATTGGCTATAAATAAATGATTGACGTTTAAAGTTTTTTTTTTCTTAGAAGGTTGAATATATTGAGTGAGTCCGAACCGAATAGCTCGTCGCAGCCTTAGTCCGCCCTCCTTAAAAAAAAAATCTTTACTATTCTCCTTTCCTTATTCTCCTTTCTTTGCATGCTGTTTATTAAACAGCGATTATTAATAATAATCAATGAAAATATAAAATTAGAAAATGTTTTTAAGGTGATTATATCGCATAATGACAACTTTTCTTAAGATTTGTTTGAAGCTTTTATTGTTTGAAGATAATGATATTCTTTATACGTATCATTTTGAGAGGGGATAATCAGGCATGTTCAAAAGATAATTGCATTTGAAGTTAGTACTTTTAACATGTGCTAGACAAGGAGCGATAGTACATTTTCAATTATAGCGCAAAAACGATATTTAGAAATTTGCTAAAAAACCAAAGAACTATTAATAAATGTAATACAAATCTCCTAAACCGAAGAAAATGGGGGTAACTAGGCAAATATTATAAAACCTTAGAAAGTTACTTTACTACTTTACTAATATCCACTTCGCTTATCAATTTATTCTCAAATACCGCACAGTGAGAAAATAAAAATTACTATAGGAAAATAAAAATTACTATTAAAAAATTGCGATTTGCAACAATTTTTTGTCCTCATCACCAAACGATGCCTTTTTGCGCTGACATTTCGGGCGATGGCCCCCCCCCCTTCCTCACACAGATCGTCCCTTTGCGATACAACCACCTTAAATTCTACAATTTTTTTCTGAAAAATTTTTCTAAAAAATGTATGCTTTTCAAGATATTCAACTGTTCCGGAACTTATAATGCTCCTCACTGTATAATTTAGAGGCGTCCAACTTTCTACGCGAAGCAAAGATTGCAATGCATACAACTTTTTACGCGAAAAAAGATTCTATTTGAGTTTGCGATTTTCCATGTAAAACATGATAAATGAGAGTTAAATAAAACACGTTTATATTCAACTTTATTTGTTAATAACGTTTTAATGAATAACGACCGATGCAACTAAAACCTGTCGGAAATCACTCAGCATCACGATCTTGACAATCAATTATATATCAAGGTCAAGGTCATCAGGGCTGGTCTTCCTATATAGTGTAGAATTACCGTTTTTTTCATTCAAAACTAAAATTCGCTACTTTATTTACTTTTCTTTATATTTTGTTATGATTTTTATTTCTTCAATTTCTTCATAGGTACATTGAACTTTTTTTTTCATAAAAAATTGAAGCTTCTGAGACTCATAAACTCGTGGAACAGAATTTACAATAATTAGAGTAAAAGCACTAAATGCGGATCAAGCATTAGTTCCGGATCACATAATTATTATATTTAAATAATTATAGTATTTTCTATAAAATGATGCATATATTATAAGATTCTTTAGCACTTGTTTTATTTTTTTTAAGTAGCGATTGTTTATTATTTATTAGCAACGCAGCGCTGCACATTTTATTAATATCGTTAATTAATACAACGTGAGAGATAAACTAAAGTTATTAAGGTACGTATCTTTAATTCATTCAAAATGCTTTATGGCTTTTACAGAAGATAGTAAATAGATTTCAAAAAAATCAATATCATGCTTAGTTAAAATTAAATCCAAAAAAGATAAACTATTTGATGAATTGATTCGCAATTAATACATAAGGTCTAAATGAGGATAATTGTTACTTAATTCATTTAATTAAATATTTAATAAAATTAAAATATATAAAATGATACTGAAATGAAATAAAATTATTCATAATAATGTAATCTTTATGATTAATTATAATTATTAAATATTTTATTAATTATTCGGTATTTGTGGATAAAAATGAATTTTTTTTAGGAGTGTCCATAATTAATCGCCTATAAACTATTTATTTTTGTTTTATTTTCTTATTTTATAAGATCTATCATATTGTTTAGGTCCATTGTCACAATATTGACATACTTATTGTAATTTTAATATATTTTCTATTTTTCTGAACTACTTACTCTTAAAAGTTGTTTAATTGTTCTGTATTCAGCAAATACTGATATAACTGCTATATAACAAATACGTAAATATCATTTATGATGTAAACATCACTTACATCTATGTAACAGTTAATTGTTTGCTAGGTAGTTGTCGTATTTTTTCAGAATTATTTTTAAATTATTACGTTTTAAATTATACGTTTTTTGAAAGCTCTTTTTTTTAAAAGATATATTGCATAACATAATTATGTACGCATTTAGAAAATATATTTTATAATTTTCATTGTCTATATATTTCAATATAAGTTGGTAAAGAATGTCAATTATACTATTCTTAAAATTATTTTCTACAGTTATATATTATTTTAATGTTTTATAATATATGTAAATAAATAGTATAACTTTTATTATCATTTTATATATATTTTATATATGAGATTAAACTTCAGTATTAAAAAAATTATTAAAATTTAATAATTTGATATATATTTGCATATCCTAAAATTAGATATGTTTTTTTTTAACTCTTCATGGTTACTGGAGATAAGAAACCTCAAAAAAGTGTGAAGCTTTATATTTCTAAAATCTTTTTTCAAAACGAAACTTAAACTGCCATTTGTCCGAAGTTCAAAGTATTCTTTTTGCGCTTTTGGCCGCATATTATTTCTTGCATGTCAGTCTTTGCAATTTTTTTAAATATGTTAAAATTAAAAATTTTTAAAAGTTACTTCATTTCTATATTCTACAATGTTTAAAGTCAGCAATTTTTGTGATTTTAAAGAACAAAAGCTGTAAATACGGCAACCAATTAAAATGAGGTTATTTTATCCTCTATGTGACTGACATAAAATTCTCAGGAAATGTGACCACGAAAGGTTAAAAAAGAATGAAATTATAGATGTTAGTAATAAATTTTAAGTAAAGAATGATTTTTTAAATTGATTCTACTTTCATAGCATATTAAATAAAATGAATTGATATGCCAAAAAAGAAAAACTTTATTCAAACAACAACTTATTTAAACTATCATACGAAACAAATAAAAAATATACAAATTTACTTTAATTAAATCTACAAATATGATTTTTTAATCCTTTTGCATTTTTCCAAATCTTTTAGATTTATTGTTATGATTTTTTTTGCTTACTACAATTTTCGACTCAATTTCCAAAAGTGTTTAAATGCATCAGACAAAAAATTCATAACTATACTAGCGTTATAAAATATAATTTGATAAAATTAAAATTAAATTATTTAAAATTAAAAAATGATTTCTTTAAATAGAAGTTAAACCTCACCTATAATTTCTTTTATTTCTTATCTATTTCGAGATCATATACTGGATGATATTACTTTATCCAAAACCTGTGTAGCACAGAAGCTTGAAACAAGATTGCAACATTTTCAATATCAATACGACATTGCTGAAACGTTGCAACATTACTATAACATTGTTGGAATATTCTATGCTGTGAAACAATTATCATTTTTTCAATAATTTAAAAAATAAATTATTAAAAATTTATCTATTCGTTTTCTGTGTTGTACTGAAAATTTGTATTTTTTTGTACAATTGTTAACAATTATATAGTACAACAAAAGGTAGTATACAAGAAGGGCAAAGAGCCAATAACGTATAAAAGAATTTTAATTTAAATGAGCAGAATTAATACAAAGCAACTATAATAAACAAACGTTTCAACTCCAATCGAGTCATTTTCAATGTAATCTTAAAATAATATAAACATCGTTCTAAATTAAAAATCTGTACATGGTCTTACAATATTATTACATGAAAACTTCAGAGAATACAAGTTAATAATGTGAAAGCAATTTTGCAATTGGAATTGAAGGATTTTTACAGCCACTATTGTATCAGAATGAGCATCTTTGATTATTCCTTTAAAATCCATAATGTTTTGCCAGTCTCCATGGTTTGCGAATTATTTAAATATTTAGACAATATTAACGATTTTAACTTTTTTCAACATACAAGGAAAATAGATAAGAAAATTCTATAGTTAAAGGAAAAAGATTTGAAAAATAAAAGAGCAAATATTAAGCGCAATTTCTTATGTTTGTGCTTCTAATAATGAATTGCTAAATAAAATTATATCTAATAATGTCAGTAATGACAATTCTTTACAGGTTATGGAAAAAATACATATTTCGACTGAATTGTTTGGAGATGCGGCTCCTCTAGATTTTTTAAATAACAAATGGTTCCTCAATTTGAGCAATATTGACATTCCTATAGAAGTCCAGTATCTGCTTCAGTTGGGGGAAGGCTTTGGCCTTCCTATTACTAAACATAATATTGATAGAACATTAATTGAGTTTATTAAGAATATTGAAAATAATATTATTGGTCGGCAGAATAATACAATAAATTCCGTTAGAAATAATACGGTTTCAATTCTGGAAAGTTTTAGAATGATTTTCCTAGGACTGGTTCGAATGATAAATTATTATTTAATTGGTTTAAGACAACAAAAAAATTTGTTAGAAATCATCCTGAAATATTAATTTCTAAAGCAGATAAAGGTAATGTTACTGTTGCTCAGAATAAACTAGATTACATATCCAAGATGGAATTGATACTTTCAGATAATAATACATATGAGATGATAACTAAAGATCCTACAAAAAAACTTACGACTGATTTACGTGCTTAGTAGGTGGAAAGGAAAAGGATTAATAGATGACTTGACGTATCGGAAGTTGCGTACGACTGATGGGATCATTCCTAGAGTATATGGTTTAACGAAGATATATAAATAAAACTATCCTCTGAGAATCATTGTTTCATCTTTAAATAGCCCATTATATAATCTATCATTGTTTTTGCATAGCATCATTACAGATTCTATACCAGAGACTCCTAGTTTTATAAAAAATAGCTTTGACTTAATTAATAAACTTAAGAATGTTAAACTGAAACCAGATTCTATGTTAGTTTCCTTGGATGTGATATCTCTATTTACTAATATACCTATAGATTTAGCATCTGATAGTCTGATTGGAAGGGATGCTATATCCAAGAAAACTAAAATTCCTTTGGACGAATTTTTGATTGCCTTTCGGATGGTTTTAAATTCTACGGTTTTTATCTTTAATAAAAAAATATACAAGCAAATATTTGGGACCCTATGGGTTCACCTTTGTCATCTGTTGCTGCAAATATGGTTATGCAGGACTTTGAAAAAATGGCTATCGGAATGCTGCCTTGTCGACTGCTATTTTATTATCGATAAGTTGATGATATTATCTTAGCTGCTCCGTCTGAGAGTGTTGATATTTGATATTTTGGATATTTTTAATTCCTTGCACACTAGATTGCAGTTCACTATGGAGATTGGCCTTGATGGAAAAATAAGTTTTTTAGGATGTTGATTATTGAAGAACGGAATCTTATTTTTGATATATACTATAAAGCAACCTTTTCCGGTAGATTTCTTAATTTCCATTCACACCGTCCACTTTGTCATAAAAAAGATAATTTATGGAGTTGTGGATAAGATTTTTTGTTTGTGTCATCCAACGAAATAATTTGATTGACGCTATTAAGATTTTTTTACAGAATGGTATCCGTTACGTTTTATTTTTTCGACTATTCATAATAGAATTAAATATCACATTAACAAGATTAATAATTTGAATAAGAATAAGGATGACACTGAGAGATTTTTTACGATTCCATATGTCAATACGATATCCGAAAGATTTATACCTATTGTTAACATGTTTAATTGTAAATTGGCTTTTACCATTCCTAACACATTAAGAAGTTTCATAAAGAGAGGAAAGGATGATTTGGAACACGTTCAGAATCAAAATGTAGTCTACAGAATATCTCGCGAAGATTATGATGTCAGTTATGTATGCCAAACTAAAAGACAATTAAAGACTAGATTGCATGAACATGTTTCTGATAAATATAATTTCAAAATCTCCATCAGTGATTTCCAACCATCGTATTGAGGAGAATCATAACTTTAAATGGGATAAAGTGGATATATTAAATGTAGAGCCTTCATATAATAAAAGGTTGATATCTGAAATGGTCCATATTAAAAAACAGAAACATGGAATAAATAGACAAAATAACACGGAGTCTTTGTCAGAATTGTGACATTATACATTCTCTTTCTCCTTCCTAATATCTTCTCTTCTTTTTCCTCCCTATTTTGCCGTTTTTCGTTCTCGATAATGTTTTTCTGTTTGACATTTCGTTATTTGACATCGTGCAAGTCAGTTGCTTGTTACCTTTGCAAATTTGCTTATAATAATTTATTAAATAAAAAGACTATTGTATTGTACAACGAAATGGACTACAGTCTACATGTTTTTTCTCTCGTTGTGTATTATTGGACTCTTAACATATTTATTAAGGTACATTATCATATTACTAATTTTTATGTAATTAATATTAATTCTTTTTGTTCACGGTTACTTTTCCAGAATTTTCTTATGACTTCGTTAATTCTTGATAAAAATGACTCGCAGCATACTACACAGAATGAAAAATTTGATAGGAATTTATTAAGGAATTGTAATAATATTGTAAGACCATGTACAGATTTTTAATTTAGAATGATGTTTATATTATTTTAAGATTACATTAAAAAATGACTCGATTGGAGTTGAAACGTTTGTTTATAATATTTGTTTTATATTAATTCTGCTTATTTAAATTAAAATTCTTTTATACGTTATTGGCTCTTTGCCCTTCTTGTATACTACCTTTTGTTATAAGTACAGAGCCTTTTAAATATATTTTTTAATTATATAATAATCTTCTCTTTTTAGAATTGCCTTCTAATATCTTCTGAAAATTATTATGTTACTTGGAGTACAGCATTTATCAAAAAATTATCATTTTCATATTTTGACATCCTCGTCTAACATTTTAAAATTTTAATGTAACATTTTATTTAAAATTAAAAGATTTTTTATTTAAAAGATGTACATATAAACAAGTACAAATTTTTTTTTCTTTTCTTACACATTCTTTTTCTTTCTATTCTACTGGAAATTGTTTGTGTTCTACAGAACTCAAATTAATTTGATATAAATTAATTTGATATAATAATTATTATTTGTTTACTATTTTGCATTTGTATAAAAAAATAATAAAACTTGAAATATATACAATTTAAAATATGAATGATATCAGAATATTTTTGATTTATTGATAATTAATTCTTTTTTATTTTCCACATTATTATAATATATTATGTCTTAAAAAGACCTGTCATACAATGTATTATAATAAGAAATATAATATTCTACTTAAAAAAATGAACTTCGCGTTGAAATGTCCCCAATCCGTCCATAAAATAATTATTTTCACTATGTTTTTTTTTATGTTCCTTTGTACTTAATATATTGGTATAAACATTTTTCCGTATGTCTTCGAATTTCGCTAATAATTAAATCAGTCATTTTATACGAATCACACATACACACACACACACACACACACACACGTGCGCGCGCGCGCACGCGTGTTGAAATATTTTTTTATATCATCAAAAATAAACGAAATTTATATCGATTTAAATAGACTACCCTGTATATATTAATATTATTTATATTACAATTTTTTATATTAGTTATGTTGTTATTGAAATTATTTCTTATTAATTAGTATTTTTTTAAATTATTTAAATTATTTGAAATTACATTTTAATGTACACATATTTTTCCACGACAACAAAAACATTATTAAAATAAATATAAGCGCGCCACATTCTACTGCAAAATATTAAATAAAATTAATTTAGATAAAGAAGGTATATTTAAATTGTTATAAATTTTATCTATGAATTTAAATTATGAGAATTTGCATAAATTTTTGACTGTCAGATTATTAGTTTCAGGCTTTGAAAATTTTCAATTCGGTTTTGCTATTACAAAGTAATAATGTCACTGCCACAATACGCCACTCAGGTAATATGCTTAGCACGTTTATACATTAAAGAGAGAATTGCATGATCAGCATGAATAAATCGGAATCAAGATTCGAAATCAAGATCTTCATTTGTTGTAGAAACTTATTAAGTTTTATTGACAATGTTTGGATAGTGATTACTTTTTATTTAATAAAAAGAATTTAATTCAAATATTTTAAATCTCTATGGAATTTTAAATTATTCAAATTTTTCATATGTGTATCTGAATAATTCAAATTTTAATCTGCAAAATGACTATAAAAAGAATCGAGTGTTGTGTCATTTGAACATGCATGAAAACGGACATTCTGTAAAATCTTTTATCACTAATTGTAAGTATCTTGGAGGGGGAATGCGTTGATCATGCTGTTGTTGACATGAGCTTTTGACATACTTGATGTAGATCTCTTGTGTCTGCGTATCTCGGTATCATAGATCTAGTGAAAAGTGCGTTTCACGACAATTGATTTTGAATGTACATAGGAATACAATAGGAAAATTGACTTGGTGTAATTGTGCGTTCTGTAGTTAAATTCTGTAGTGAATTCTTCTTTAATTATTATTATCTAACAATGCCTCTAATTAAATACATATATACATACTATCAACATGCTATCTACGTGTAGTAATTAATTTGCAGGTAATATACTAATTCAAATAAATTATTATGTTGTTTGAATTGCATAAAATATTATTAAAAAAATAAGTGTTGAAAAATTTATAATCAAATGATCAATGCATTTCTATTAATCATTATTCTACTATTATACATATATATTCAATGCATTTTCTATTTATTATTATTCTTTTACTACATGTCAATAGAGTGCTTTCTCTTTTAATCAAAAAACTCTGTGAATATGTCAAAGCAATCAAAATAAAAACAAACTTCTTTAGACAATTTCGTATTTTTCTAGAATTTCAAATTTTAAAATATATCCTATATCATAATGAACGATTTATTAAGTAAAAGTACTGGCCGAGATACTTGTTTCGATAATTTAAACTTAGGACGTACAATACACGGAATACAAGAAATCCGGATTCGAATCCCGACCGAGATAATATTTTTCGAAATAAATTTATTTAGCGTTTTTCAGTACATTAATGTCTTTCTAATAAAATGCCAGATTCAGCATCAAATTATTAAATTGCTTATCAATTTAATTTGTGATACTACTATAGTAGTTTGATTGTTATAAATTCAAAAAATCATTTTGGCGAAAAATTCGGCAATTCAAATAACTACATATTTAGTTGTCTTTTATGTTAGTATATGAATTCACATAGAAATTATTTAAAAGCATCTAAGATCCAGCTTCGACCGTAATAAGATTAAAATAAAATAGTATTAAAAAAAACTCTTACTTGTAGTATATCTTATATTTGTAAAAAATTTTCACATAATTTATTGTTTTTATTTCTGTATGAGTGTGATATATATATATATATATATATATATAATCTTTTAATATCATTTAAAAATAAATATTAATGTATATTTAATAATACATTTTTTTCTAATATCTAAAAAATTATATTTTTTTATATACAAGATAAAATTTTAACAAAGGCAGATGCCACCACAAAAGAAATTTATTATTATTAAATTTTTATAATTAAATATTAACAATTAAATATTTATTTATGTATTCATGTATTTATATATTTATTTATATTATTTATTTATATTATTTTTTTTTAAGTTCAGTTCTTAAAGATATTTTTAATAAAGCTCAATTTTTATATAAAAAATGATTTTATAAAGAATAATTTTTTAAAGATATTTCTTGAAAGTTTATATTTAATATTACCTAATAATTCTAAAAATAATTTTTATTTAATAAGTTTTTGATTAAATTATTTCTACAAAATCAATTAAAGGTCGTTATTAATTTTTGCTTTTCTTTAGATGTATATTTTACATCGACATAAAAACATAAATAATATAAACATAAGTAATATATATTTTTATAAGTAATATATATTTTACATCGATATAAAAACATAAGTAATATAATAATAAAATATGATGTATTATTTTAATCGTTTTATGTTTATAAATCATTGATAAATGAACTTGTGAGTTTGAGCACACCTATTGCGATTACCGATGTTGTCACGTACATTAGCTTAGTACTTATATAAATACATAGCGGAAGGTGAGCGATTAAATCGATGCTGTATATCGTCTGAAACGTTCGCATATTATAAAGATATTCCTGAAAAATTTATAACATTTGCAGTTTAATAATTTGTGCGTATTTGTGAGTGTAAATACAGGATGAACATTATATTAAACTCACTTGCTAAAATCGACTATTTTCCAAAACATATTGGAAGACTTTGGTATTTGGTTAATCCAAAGGAGACGACTTTCGAGTTTCTACATGAAGTGCCGGACTATCAACAACAGGTAATATTTTCCATGAGAAATAAGAAAATTTTGACATAAGAAAAATAAAAATAAAATTTTGAAAATAAGAACATTTCTGCTAAATTTTTTATTAAATTAGGGGCCTATAACTTTTAACAACTATAACGATATCACATTACACTGTCGTTGCGTGGCTTTTTTTACTATATATAAAACCTGCGCAATGTAACGATATTGTTACAGTCGTTAAAAATTACAGAATAAGCCCCTTAAACTACATTCTAGTTTTTATATATTGCATATCATAGAATAAATAATGTTATAAAGCAGATATGTTGAGTACTTACGAATATAAATAATTTAATTTTGGAAATGAAGCTGTTTTCTAAAACAATTATAGGTAAAGAATTGAGACTTTAATTATTTGAAATGTTATTATTTTATTAAACGTATGTTATAATTTAAATTTATAATACAAAAAAGAATTTCAATGTAATTAATTTGTTAATTATGTAATATAATTCTTTTTCTTCTTCTTCTTCTTCTTTTTCTTCTTCTTTTTCTTACGTTAGGCCTCTGACCTGTGTTACACCTCTTTCTTGTGATGCACACGCTGATTATTCAATTGTCACAAGCATATGAAATCTACAGTTTTAATGCCAGTTTCGAATGGCGAAGTTTTTAAAAGATAGTTTCTGTAGGTAAAGCTATTCTCGGGTATTCTCTTTTCCGAAAGAAGACACGAGCATAAATATTTTGATTTCTACTGGGATCAAAGCTGGTACCTTTGGTTAAACCAGTACACTGTCTACCATGTCACGCACATGCTGTATATTATAATATAATTAATTTGTGAAATTATAAATATTTATGATTATTTTTAATTGTAGAAAAATTTAAAAGTAGCACTGTTATGTATTGATTAGAAAAGAATTATATACTGCTTTTTAATTGATCATAAAATAAACATAGATTTAGTAAATTTATAAAGATTATTAATAAAATTTAACAAAGGTGTAGCAGTAAATAATTTACACTAAAGTAAATAAGAAAATTGTTAGAGACGATAATCTAAAGAATATTTTTAATTATGAATAATTTTCTTAAGTTTAATTTTTATTGTTAATTATTAATGTTGCTGTTTTATCTTAATTTTATTTATTTAATAATAATAATAATAATTTAAATTTAAAAAATTCCCTCTAATGTCAGCATGAATTATTTATGCTCTGATTGGCTTCATATTATATATCGATGTGCATTCGGCTCGAATAGAATTTATAAAATTTTTCTTTGAAAAATCTACTTGATACCATTTATGCCAAAGCAGCATAAATGTCAAATGTATTGAGGAAGTCCGATAATTTGAATGCGCAGCTGGCCTGTTATTTGTTACGAACCCAGCAAGCTACATGAATCGTTAACAAGTCATATGTGCGCGCTATTCTTGTCGAGACCTCATTTGAACGTAGCGACTAATACATGCAACTACATGCTACTAATACATGAAAAATTTAACTTTCTGCGTATACAATCTCTGATATATTTATAGATATGGATGCCGTTTTTTCTGCTGCTTATTCTGGAACAATTAATATTAAAAAAAAATTTTCGTTTGAATGATCAAGTGACATCCTTATCTCATTGGATGCTTTACGAAATTACCCGGTAAGAATAATTACAACTTATTCTTTACTACATTTAAAAAAGTAGGAAATATATACACACGTACAGTTTTTTATTATTTTTTCCTGGGAATTATTTGTTTCAGAAATAATCGTTTTAAATAATTTAAGAAATAGTTTCTTGCAATCGTTATTGACATAAATATTTATATACAATATTCTACTTACAAGTTAATTTTTTATTTATTGTGATTTTATTTTGTTCTTATTCCTTTATCTTTACTCTATGCTCGAGAACCTAATAATTCAATTATCTTATTTTATTCAATTACTACCTTCAATTACTAACTTTCTACCTGAAGACATAGAAAAATCTAATGTAAAAGTAATTGTATAGAGAAGAAGATTTTTGGAAATTTTAGGATTATAAAAAATATAATAAGTATATAATAAAAATAAGATATTTGTAATAATAAGATATAAAAAATGAATAAAGATAATAAATACATGTGTTATTTATTATTCGTGTATTAGATACATATGCTATTTTAATTTATAAATAATATAATATTTAAATACATAAATATGAATATAATATATTAGTCGTATCTTTCTTTATTTGTCAAACTTAGATAAATATTATTATTGGTTTTACAGAATATTTTCTCGCAGTGTCGAATATTATTTATACATTGTTATTTATGAGAGGTTTGGCAGAGAATATACTTTACCCTGGAATTCGCTATACACATGGTATATTACCTTCATTGCCGTAGACTTTTGTTACTATTGGGCTCATCGCAGTAATCACGGTTAATTTCCAAACATTCCTCGTGTTAAGCAATCTCTTTCTTTCTCTTTAATTGAAAATATTAATTGTCTTATTGTTTGTAGAAATTCACTTTTTGTGGGCCCACCATCAAGTGCATCACAGCAGTGAGGAGTTTAATCTCGCGGTTGGTTTACGACAATCCGTTCTGCAACATTGGTGCAACTTTGTAAATACCACTTTTTTAACATTTTTATCCAAATTAACTATATACGAAGAAAAATATTAATAGATAATTTTAATATTTATTACACTATGTTTTATAAATTACAAATTAAAGACTGTTTGTAATTAAAACTAAAAGATTTTAAAATAAAATGCATCTTTATATTTTGATTTAAATATCCTTTGCAGATTATTTATTTACCGCTTGCCTTTTTTATACCTCCATCACATTTTATTGTGCATAATCAACTCAATTTGATATATCAATTGTGGATACATACAACAGTTATTGATGATCTCGGACCATTCGAGTTAATTTTTAATACGCCTAAGCATCATCGTGTTCACCATGGTAAATTAAATAAGTGTATCTAATATTTTTTTCGCAATTTATAATATGTTACATGTGCACTTTTGTATTTGTAGGCTGTAATCTTTATTATTTGGATAAGAATTATGGTGGCGTACTTATAATATGGGATCGATTATTTGGTACATTTCAAGAAGAAGAACGAAATGAAGAGATAGTTTATGGATTAGTAGTTAATGTTGAATCATTTAATGTATTTTATTTGCAGGTAAAATTCATGACAATGAATTATTTTCCTTTTGAATTTTTTATGCACTTAATAGTAAATGATAAAAAAATAAGTTAGTATTTATATATGTAGATATGAATAGTGACGTAATTTAAATTAAAATGTTATTGTATATTATAAATATGTCAATTTCCCAATTTATTGATAAAAAAACTAAAGGAAGCAAAACTAAAAAATATTTAAAAGCTTGTGAATAACAATAATAATAATAAAATAAAAGTAATTTTATACATAAATATGACATTTTGAATTGTTTCTAATTATTATTATCTGTAATATTGCATTGTAGATATTTTACTTGAAGGATTTAATTAAGAAAAGTATAAGTATGAATACATGGGCTGATAAATTTGCTGCTTTTTGGAAAGGTCCTAGCTGGTTTCCAGGTGGACCACGTTTAGGTTTAGATGAATTCAAAATAAAGGTATAATAAAAAATTTTTAATAAATTGAATAAGATACATATATGTTACTTTAATTTATAAATAATATTTATTTATTATTAAAAATTAAAACAGAAATTCAGTTTATTTTAAATTTAATATAAGATATTGTTCTGTTATCTCTTATAGGTGAAGCCTAGAACTATATACGATCCTTACATATCAAGAATACAAAAAATATATATTAGTGTGCAGTTCCTGATGGTTCTTCTCAATCATTATAAATTATACAAATCACAATATTATGAGGTAGGTTTTAATAATAAATAGGATTCATTTGTTATTAAGATGTGGATATGATACATAATTTTTTATAATTTCATATTTTAAATTGTTGCCTGACAATTCAATTCGTAAATATGTATATTCTTTTTAAGTATTTCTTAAATAGTTTTTTTCCATTATTGGTTTAAATTTTGACATTTCTAATTTTACATTAATTAAAGAATTTTTTGTTTAATTTACAATAAACCAATAATATTTTAAAGCTTTAAGATATAAATATAAGTTGCAAATGTTTAAATGCAAATTGGGAGACAATACTAAGCAAATAATAGCCCAATTCGTAGAGTATTATAACGAAAATTATATTATTATATATTTATGTACCAGTCTTGTTACATTCCTTTCAAAGAGATCATTTGCAGTAATGTTCCTAATTTTAATAATGTTTCTAAATTGCACAAAAACTATTATTATTTTTTTTTTTAAATAAGGTTAAATATACGTTATTATTGGTTTGACTTTGAGTCATCAGGGTTACTTTGGATTTTTTAAATGGAATACTCCTTATTTTCCATTACATATTCTAATTTATCTCGAGAGCTTTTCAAAGCTCTATTACAAAATATTTTATTAAATACTTTTCAAGTTATAATGCTTGAAAGTTACAGTACCGCCGGTATTACTCAAAAGTGTACCACGCGAAGGTTATCGTAAAGTTAGCTCCCCAACATTAAAAAGCATAAAGTTTCTATAGTTCAATCGATTGCTCATTGTTTGCACATGTATGTATATTTCGAATTTTGCACACTTTCAGTAAAAAAATAATTTTAGAAAGTTATTTCATACTAACCTCTCCAACTGTGAACAAATTAAATTGAAAAAGGCTTAATTGATAGACTTTTTAGTTTGCACATTCCGAAACAAGTTGATTTTTCGTTTGACACTCGTAGTTAAAAAGTTATTAACAATTAAAGTTCCGAGAACTGTCGTCGATTCAGGTAGATTAGACTCAAATCACAATTGGGGGGGGGGGGGGTTAAGTTAGTCTCTCCAAAATTGTTTTTTGAATAACTTTTTTATTGAAAATGTGCAAATGAAAATTCGAAATGTACATATGTATATGTGCAAACAATGAACAATCGAATAAGCTATAAAAATTTTTTTTTTTTTTTTAATGTTGAGGGCTAACTTCACGACGCACGACGGAGCGGAGATCAATCGGTTAGATTTACACTTCTTCTGCATTGTGTGTGTGTGTGTGTGTGTGTGTGTGTGCGCGCGCGCGCGCGTACGTTTTTAATTAAATAATGTTTACATTTTTGCTATTATGTTACAGATTGCATTTTAATAAAAATAAAATTCCTTCATTTAATTATATGTTTGAATACATATTTATTGTTGTCAATACATAGTTGGACTCGACGTTGAAAGCTGTCAACGTCGAGTTTGAAAGAAGAACATTTCCCGAAATGTTTCGACAGGCAATGGTTATGCATTCAATCATATTTTATTTTGTTGTAAGCAAATATGTATTGTAACTTTCAAGCCTTATAAATTGAAAAGTACTTAATAAAAAGATATTTTATTATAGTGCTTTGAAAAGCTCTCGAGATAAGCTACAAGAATATGTAATGAAAAATGAGGAGTTCCATTTAAGAAGTTCAAAATGACTTTGTTTCAACCTTAATAAGTCACCCCAAGGTCAAACCAATAACCATCCAGCAAACAAAAATAACTTGAAATAGATAGAAATGAATTTAATATTTCCGAATTTCGACATTTCCGAATTGTGCTTCTGATTTTTCAAATCAATTTAAATTCACGAATACATCTGATTTCGACATGAGTTATTCGATGAATAACTCATTTCGTATCTTAATTCATTTCATAATAAAAAAATAATAGGTAAAACTGCATGACCTCATGATTTTATGACCGATGACCTCACCGATTTCAATGACCTTGACATATATTGTCAAAGTCATGAGTCATCTCCAATAAATTTTAACTGTCGCTCGTTAAAAAGTTAACAACAAAAATTTTAAAAATAACGTCTATTTTCTGCTATATAAAACAAAAATGTTCTGCTTTAAAATATATTTTACCATTATGTTATAACAGGGAGCATAAACTCTTCCATAACGCATAACACATAATGCATAAGAAAATGTACCAATCAAAGTCCTTCATTTCCTTCCTTTCCATGAAATAAAGACCTCTAATTGGTTGGATTTCTTATGTTCTATGTTATACAGTTATGCTTTATACAAAAGTCTGTGCTCCTCCCTTATCCCTTCCATCATAATATAATTTCCACGCGACTTTTATTCCACTTCTCCCATGCTTCAGGGGCGCACGACTTCCACGCAAAACGACTTATTCTACCCCTTCTGCTTCTGGAGCGCACGACTCACGCGAAGCGACTTTCACCCCACCTTCCCTTTCCTGCCAAGAAACGTTCGACTTTTCATTCGAAGTGAGTGTCACTCCATCTCCTTCTATACCCCACATCGATTTCATCCTAATCTAATTCATCCTTTATCTAATTTCTCCAAGAAAATATATTGCTCCTTTATAGCAGAAATGTAATGTTAATTCTTAAACATTTTTTGTTAATAACTATTTAACGAATAACGAGTAACGGTTAAAATTTATTGAAGGTGACTCAGGAAAGTGACTCATGATCTTGATAACATATGTCAAGATCAATGGTGAGATGGTGAGATCGTCGGTAATATGCAATTTTATTTAAATAATATAATACGGACATGAAACATCTAAATTCAATACGATTGAGAATAGCACATTTCATATTTTAATTCATTTCAACTAAAAAATAACATAATACGAACATAAATCATTCAAATTCAACATGAATAGCATATGTCATATTTCTATCCATTGGAGTCTGAAAATACTTATGTTGTAAATAAGTCAGCCATGAATACTTTCAAAATGAATGAGAACAATATCATTTGAATTCACTTCAATTAAAAATAATTTTTTCAAACATAACTAATTTGTAAGCTGTGAATACATCACAGTTCAAAATTATAAAAATACGCATTTTTGTTTAAATAAAAAAAGTTATGATGGAAATATTTAAGCTCTGAATTTATATCCGAGTACAGTATTGAATAGGAGTATTCCTGTTTCGATCCAAATAAATATAAAAATACTGTTCAATTTATAAAGAAAAAATTATAAATGTTCACACATGAACAGAAATCCTCAAATATCGATTCATTTCAATTAATTTCAATCCATTTCGTTTACTGGGCATCTTAGCCTCTTCAAAGTCATAAAACTTTTAAGAGAGATATAAGATGATGCTATTAAAATTTTTTGAGACCATCTTTCTCTAAAATGCACTGTTCAAGAGATATTAGAAGTCGTTATTTAAAATGGAACAACTTATATATATCTTAGAAAGTTTCGATTTTACGTTATAATATTGTTATATTTAATTGTGTTTATACTACATTTAATTATAGCGCAAAAGTTTGGAGAAATGCAAATATCTCTATTTTTTTAAAATAATTACTCGCAAAAATTTAATATATATAATTTTATAAACAATAATTAAAGTACAAGAATTAAGAGCACGCTTGCTACTTACCTTGGTTCTGTTTTAGAATTTAGATGATCCTTGGGTAACAATTGCAGTAGCAAACAACTTAATTGCTCTCATCAGCATTGGCTTGTTATTTGATAAGTGTGCGTTTAAATATACGAGCGCTATTGAAATCGTACGCTGTGTTTTTTATGTGTACTTCATGCGTTTGTACAACGCTAACTTAATTGATTATTTCATATATTATGCACATGTGTTTCAATTGGGTTTTGCTTTTTTTTTAATATAAAATTTATGCACACACACACACATATATATTGCACCTATTTCTTCACTCGCAGGTATTATCAAAATTAAATTTTAAGAAAAAGGATTGAAAGAAAAATGATTTAGGATTACAATTTTACATACAAAATAGGGTGTATATGCGCGGAGGAAGCCCATCTCGATGATCTTGATATATGTGATCCTTGATATATGTTATCAAAGTCATGACTCTGAATGATCTCCAATAGATTTTAGCTGTCGTTCGTTATTCATTAAAAAGTTACAAACAAAAAAATTTGAAAATGATGTCTCTTTCTATCATATGAAATCAAAATATTCTGGTTTAAAATATTTTACGATTGTCCACGCGAAATGAATTCCACTTCAATTCCCCTCCTATCTAGGGATCCATAATTTTCCATGCAACGCGAATTCCATCTCATCTCCCCCTTGCCTAGAGGTGTTCCAACTTTCCATGAGAAACAAGATCCATCTATATGAAGAGACGTTATGCCTCTAGGCGGTGGAAAGTCATTACGTACACAAGGGAGAGTATAGTTTTTAATGTTGTAGAGATATGTGACAGAAATAATAATTTTAATAACTTTTTAACTAATAACGAGCGATTGCTAAAATCTATTAGAGATCATTCAGTTATGATCTTGATAACATATGTCATCGGGGCTCTTTCTATCGACATATTTACCCAAAAAAATTTTGTATCAAAATTTATAAATTTATTAAGAAATATTTTATTTTATTATATGTAGCAAACGCTACTCGAATCATAATATATACGATCTATCTAGGTGAGAACATAAAATTATTTTTCTATTGTTACAATGAATAATCCTTGATAATAATAATTGTGTTCCTAATAGATTTAGTATCAAACTTAATATGAAAATTTTATTATATAATATTAAAATATATTCTCATTTTTCTTGATATGTTTTATAAATAGATAATTATAATTTATTAATTATAAATTACAATTTATTTATAAAATGTACAAATTGACAAAATTATGTGTACACCGTCGCGAGAGATCCTCTTAGTGCTTTCAAATATTTTCGTTGTTTGTCGTTCCATAAAACCTATTAACACTCTTAATGTATTTACGATTACACATAGATATATGCATGCGTGCGCACGCACGCGCGCGCGTGTGTGTGTGTGTGTGTGTGTGTGTGTTATTATGAGTGAATCGATTAAACATTAAATCATTGAAATTTTTCGAAAAGAAGTATATAAGATGTTAATATGTAAGAATATGTATGTAATATTAATATGTATATAATATATATAATTTAATAGTTCAGTGCAATACTGTATATGTATGTATATAATGTATATAATATTAATAGTTAATATGTATATACCATATTCGTATATCATATAAAGACGATCAATAACGAAAATAATAATAATAATCATTATATTACTAATTATTCATTATAAAACAAAGTAAAACAATTTTTTATGAAAATATACTTATATTAAACATTATATGATTTCTTATAGAAAATAAATAAAGAATGTGTTTAGACATTTAATATTACAAAATATGTAAAATTATGTTTTTTGGTAATAAATAAATGAAATGAAAATTCAAAAAACGTTTTATTTTTTTATATTATAATAAACCCATATTAAGGAAAGTTTTGAAAATTTGGCGTTCATTGTTTGTAAAATGTACTTTTTTGCATTGTAGAAGAAATATATATATAATGTGTGCGTGTGTGTGTGTGTGTGTGTATGTGTGTGTAGAGAAAACATTTGTTTCTTATGCTAAACATGACATAATCGTCGTTACTGACGATAACTAAGGCAACGATGTGCATTAACACAATTTATAGGGAAAATTAAGTGCGCAAGTTTCAGATAATGCACAGATGTATATTTTCATTAAGAAAACAAACTTTTTAAATCACATTATTGTAACTTGCAATAATATACAATACATATATAAACATAATTAATAACATGTACAGTTAACTTTGTATTTAATAAGAGAAACAAATGTAATAAGTTTAAACAAATATTGTAATTATTTAAATAGAAAAGTTATTCGCTACTTTCCATAATGTGTGTGAGTGTGTATGTGTGTGTGTGTGTGTGTCCTAAATATATATTCGCATATAAAATTTTCTATTTAAGTATTATGTATTTGTCTTCCTTTGTAAATGTACGTTAAGATAGCATTATTGTATTTTTGAGTTTTTCTTCGCAAACGTTGCTTGAAATTATTACATGATACGAAATATGTCAAATATATTATAAAATTTACGAAATCGCATCCACAAAGACATCCTATAATCAAAATGTTTATAAAATACGCTATAATAGTACAATGTCATACGCGTTATAATACAACAGTAGAACATGTAAGTAGCACTTCAAAGTACGTGTTAAAAAATGCAACTTAATGTATATAAAAATTTCAAAAACAGTTAAAATTGTTTGCGTTTTTTTGAACGAATACAGTAATAATTATTAACAAATACGTCTATCCTAATTTAATAAGAGTAAACAAGCAAGCATCCTTTCACTTCCTTGTCCCACGCAACAACATTATATTATAAAGATAGCAACTATCTTACTTAAGCATAATGTAAATGTTATCAGAAGACATTGCATAAAACAAAGACAAAATGTAATAGTATCCACAATGCACAAGTTCTTTAGTACATTATAATTAATATTGTGTTTTACATATAAAGCTTCTTGAGTTAATCGGTAATATGTTTACGAAACCGTGACAAAAATCCTTCCTGGTCCGTTTATCTAAAATTAAAAATAAAATATAATTAATCTTCTAATTATATTTATACATGTAAGAAGAGGTAAGAAAAGGAGAAGAGACAAAAGAGAGACAGAGAGAGAGAGAGAGAGAGAGAGAGAGAGAGGAGATTTTTTATTTATTAATTTTAAATTTTTCTTTATTAATTTTACGTATTTTAATATTTTACATAAATATTTTATTGTAGAAATAAGATATATTTATACACAGTGCTCGCCAAAAATTCTGGGCCGACCGAATATTTCGGAAAATATGCATTTTTGAGAAAAATATTTTAGACAAGAATTGTACAATTTAAAAAGATCTATTTAATAATTTTATCAATTTGACCTTGCATCGACGTCGCCAATGTCAAGTCAAGGTCACATCGATTTTTTTAAATTGGACATCCTATTTTTGATTCCGGAATTTAATAGCCAATGTCAAATATTTCTCAAAATGTTACAATATACTTGTTACAATATGATTGTTTCAAAATATTATAATGAACAAAGTTTATTTTCATTGATCTTAACAAATATTATCCAGAGCATGATGCTGAACAACATTCATGAGATCTTATGTCCAATTTCTTCACCTCTAGATAACTTTATCCAAAAAATATTTCTCAAAATACAATGAAGATATCTCCTGGATAAGGAGATAATCTAAGTTATCCGCAACTTATCTAGAAGAAAAGAAATTGGGCGTTAGTCATAGATCGGCATTTTGGGTAACACCAATAATACCGGAACTTATAACTCGAAAAATACTTAATAAAAATGAACTTTATTGTAGCATTTTGAAAAGCTTTTGACATTGGCTATTAAATTCTGGAATAAAAAATAGGATGTCCAATTTTAAAAAAATGTGACCTCAACCTCAATGCCTATGGTCAAACTGAGAGATAAGAATATTAAATAGATCTTTTTAAACCCTATAATTTTAGTGAAACATTTTTCTCAAAAATGCATTTTCTTTAAGATATTCAACCGGCCTGGAACTTTGGGGAGAGGGGCACCGTATATATACAAGTACATATACATGGTTATACACATACGCGCGCGCGCGTATGACACTTTGTATACATATATGTATAATAGGATGTCCCATTTTAATTTTGACACTGAAATATCTCGAAAATTGTAAAAGATAGTAAAGAATGTTTCAGACAAAAATTTTATGGTGGTTTTCAAATGGGGAAAAAGTTGGACCTTAGTTAACTTTGAGAAGATACCTTTAAGGTCAGGTCAAGATTAAAATTTTTTTAATGGAACCTCTCATTTTTTATTACATACTCTTATAATTAACTTCTGTTGATGACCTTTTGAAAACATTATAATAAAATTCATTTTCATTAAGTATGCTCAAAACTTTTGAAATATTGTTCACAATCATGACATTGATAACCTATATACTGTAATTTAATTTGATTCAAGATCAGATTCAAGGTCACTAACAGCTGTTTTTCAAAAGTTTTAAACGTGAGTAATTCTAACATCAACCGAATTGAAAATCTCAAAAAGCATTTGTCTCTTTGACAGCTACAGCTTTTATTAAAAGAAAAAAATTTCAATTTTCATTTTAAAAAATAGCTATAACAAAAAATCTCAGAAATGATGCCATGTACGATTGAACTGATAACAGCATTCCATCGAAATCGTGAAATTTTTATTTGTAACGTTTTTTCCTATCTCCTTTAGTTTTCAAAAAAATCGACTAAATAATTATCTTGAAAAGTACTTAATGAAAATGAACTTTATTATATGGTAGTGTTCTTAAAAGGTCTTGAGTCAGCTATAAGAATATATAATAAAATAAGAGATTTCATTAAAAAAATTTTTAGATAACATTGACTTAACCTTAAGGATATCTTTTCAAGGTCAACCACGGTCACCAACTTCTTTCCTCCTTGAAACGATAAAACTTTTGTCTGACACATTTTTTCGTATCTTTTATAGTTTTCGAGATATTTCGGTGTCAAAGTTAAAATGTGAGTATATACCTATATATATATATATATATATATATAAAATTAAATGGTATATAACTATCTTAATAAATTTTTTATAGACATTTATTTTTTATGATTTATTTTAATATCATTAAATTAATTATATAATTAATTATATTAATATGTAAATTAAAAATTTGTTACGTAGGATCTACTTACCTATGAAAATTATCCTATGTATCACTACTTGGTGATGTTTTCGTTTTACCATTTCTTGTTTTAGTTTCCGTCGAAGGTATTTGTTCAACAGAGTCCGTTTCTTCCTCTATATGACGTCCATTGCTACCGCTGCTTCTCTCGGATGTACTGATATCTTGTTGCTCTAACAAAGGCATTTCAAGAGAATCTGAAGAAATTCGTCTCGCGTTGCCACCATATCGCTCGACGGTTTCTGGAGTTTCCTTTGCGTCTTTTATATTGTTCAACGAATCCGAGCTCAAGGACGGAAAGTCCAGAGTTGTCTTCATCTCTAGAGAATCAGAACTTCGACACAATTGTTGATATTTTTTTTCTGCATTATCTTCCATTTCTAAAGAATCCGTACTAGTCTCCATAATATTGCTCTCTTTTGGTATCACTCGTGCCTCTTCGAGTTCTTCTGTTTCTTCTGGAAGAGTTTCTGGTATTGGTTGAGCGAAAGCTTTCTCAGCATCGGTAATCTCGATTTGCGAAATGTCTTCCGTAGTGTCGTCTTGCCGTTCAAACTTCTCCATGTTAGACTGAGCAATGCGTATTATCTCGTCGATTTCTTTTATCCTCTTTTCGTAGTCATCCGATCCGGAAGTACTAGGATTAAACGAGCCAGCTGCACTAGTCTCTGTTCTCGATCGCGGCAGATTTTCTAATTTATATTTGTTTTCTGGACTTTCATGTTCTAGTAGTTCCTCTTCCTCACGAGCCCGTAGCTCCATCAAATGAGCCTCTCTGCAAGCTTTTTCCAGTCCTTCAAAGTCCTTTAGTGAAGACAATGAAACGTCATCACCATGACCTGAACGACCGGTCATGTATCTTCTCGG